GATTGAGATTTCCAAACAGGGAGCACAGCCTGCTCAGGAAGCAGCTAATTAAGCAGGAGACTCCAATTAAGAAGCAATTTGAGTGTTTGCAGCAAACCCCAGCAGCAGCCCAGCGTAGCAGAGAGAAGCCCAGGCATGGCTTCTCACCTCTTGCGTGATTAGCTCGCTGTGAGATCTCAGACGAATTATTTAACCTCCCTGGGCTTCTGTTTCCTGGGCTATGAAATGAGGGGATAATGCTGGTTGATAATGTAAGGACCCTGCTGGCCCCCACACTGGCAATTCCGAGGGAGTAGGCGGCTTCTGTCCTTCCAACACTGCACACTAGCACTCTAGTCTTTTACTGCTCTCTCTCCATTCCACCCAAGGCCAATTCTTTTCTCATCTCTTGTGGATTTGAATGCTGGTCTATAAACTCAGGTGTGTGAGAATTGTACTTTTCTTTATTTTTCATATCCCAGCTTAATTTTTCTTTCCGGATCTCATTCCTCTAGGGTGGTGATTCAAGCATTCCCCTCTTCCTATTCCCATGATGTACCTACATTCCAGGAGGATTAAATGCGATGTTGAGTATGTGCCGGGGGCAGGTCAGCAGCCTCCACTGAGATATTGTCTTGGTACCTTCTGGGCCTCAGGGGTGGTCCTTGCTGGTTGCTATGGAGATCACATTCCCATCTGCTGAGGATGCAGCTTGTGGTAGATCGATTGTAATAAGGGCCCCAATTTTTCTTGCTTCCTGATATTCACATCCTTTGGTAATACCATCCCACACTGGCCATAGGCTTCACCATGTGTCTTGCTTTGGCAAACGGGATAGAGGGAGACTTCGTACAAGCAGAAGCTTGACAAAGCCCTTGATCACCGTGGCTTTGTCTCTTGGAATCCTGCCACTGCCATGAGGACATACCCGGGCTAGCTGGTTGGAAGGATGTAAGAGATATACTTCATGAGTTCACAGCAGACTAACTCAGAAGGTTGAGTCATCCCAGCCAAGGCATCCTAGCTGACCTCAGCCAAGATCAGCAAAGCTCGACCCAAATTAGCAGAACCACCAAAGTGATCCATAGGCTCCCAAGAAATGATGAATATTTGTTGTTTTATGCTTTTAAGTTTTGGGGTGATTGTAATGCAACAATAGCTATTGGATGCGTGGCTTTCCCCTATACATCTATGCCTGCACCCAGGAAATGAGCCCTTTTTCCCAGACCCACTGGGATTGTTGGCATTTTATGTCATGTATGGGAGCAGTTCTCTTATCAGCTAAGGACCCTTATAATCCAAAGCATTGGTGGTCCCATCCTGTAGTGGTAGGCAAGGTCCTCTTGTGAGGTTCTGGGGAGTGTAAATAAGTTCAGTATTTATAGAATGTAATTTTATCATATATACCAAGAACCTCTAAATTGTCCATACCTTTGGTTCAATTTAGCTAAAGAAGTAATCTGAAATTTGGGGGGGAACCCTATATACAAACAGATTTTAATTATAGTGTTATACTAGCAAAAAAACCCCATCTAAATGTCCAACAATATATTACATTCAGGTGATGATATATTATGGACAGCCATTCAAAACCATGTTTACAAGGAATTCATAAACAACATGGAGAAATCGTGTGCTATGTTAGCTAAAAAAGCAGATTATAAAATTATATAGGATACAGTATCACATATTCAAGAAACATGGGGAATGGTAATAGTGTTAAAATTTAAGGAGTAGGATTATGGTTGATTTTTATTTTATTTCTATAAGTTTCTGGATTTTCCATATTTTGAACAATGAACACATACCATTTTTATCATCTGAAAAAAAAATGTAGGTATCAGCCTAGGTAGAGCCAGGAAAACGGAAACCGCCCAGAGGGAATTTGTTTCTCAGATGATGGAGGAGTTGGAAGTCAAATAAATGACAGTGAGGTATCCCATCGGTTAGCCCAGAAGGAAGCCAGTATCATTCCTCTGGATAATGAGAGGCATCAGTGTTCTGGGTTACCCAGGAGCTGGGATTGCCTGGCAGGGGCTAGAATCATGGGAGGAGCCTTCCTGATAGGAGCTAGGGCCACAAAAAGTCCAGGGAATGGGGGGGGGCATGAAAAGGGAGAAGCCACAGAGGAGAACCACCTCCCACATTGCCAGAGATACCCCAGGGGGTGGAGAAAAGGAGAAATACTTTGGCTTCTTTTTCCTTCCTACCTTCAGTGTTCTTCCACGGCTGACCATTGGCCACATGGGACCCCAGAGGGCAAGAGAAGGGTAAAAATGGATGTGAGCACACATGGGAAGCTGACCAACACGGTATAAATGGCTTTTACGATGTGTTTATTTATAAATGGGTTCCATGTAGTTTTGGTTAAGATACACATTTCTATATCTCCCCAGGGGCATCGTGGAATGTATTTCCCTTAACTGCAAAGGATCCCACTCATTGGCTTAACTGTTTCCCTATTGTTTGGTACTTGGGCACGTTCCAGTTTTGTGGCTTCTACAGAAAGCAGCACCTTTATATATAATGATTTAAAATTTCATTTAAATTCTTTCTTTCAGTTCAGTTCTCCCAGGATGGATCATTGTATGTGTCACATGATCATATCAGCAATTTAAAAAATAATCATAGAGGAAAACTTCAGTGTAGTGGCACGAGTTCTACAATTAGAATCATACTCATGATGTGAAGATACCACTAAGCTTCACTCTTCTCATCTGCAAAAACAGCATCCCTCCTGTCCTGCCTTCCCAATAGCCTTTGGGAAGATCGAGGTAACGCGTGCTGCCTGACTGATTGATGCACACCTGTGTGTGTGAGCTGCTGGCGACATTGTTGATGATGATGGGGATGATGAAGATTTGGCAGTTGTTGGGGGCACCTGGGTGGCTCAGTTGTTAAGTGTCTGCCTTCAGCTTAGGTCATGATCCTGGGATCCTGGGATCGAGCCCCGCATCGGGCTCCCTGCTCCGCGGGAAGTCTGCTTCTCCCTCTCCCACTCCCCCTGCCTGTGTTCCCTCTCTTGCTGTCTCTCTCTGTCAAATAAATAAATAAAATCTTTACCAAAAAAAAAAAAGATTTGGCAGTTGTTAAATGGAGCTTCCTGAGATGAGGACCAATGGGCATCGTCACTGGTACTGGGGAAGGTCCATTTCCCACCAAAGATTTCCCAGTCCTGTGACCCAATGTGTGAACCTCAATTTTCCTGAAGCCCACATACTTCTTGGCCACGCAGGGCATGTTTTAATGACAAAAACTCAGACACTAAAATGGATGAAAGACCTAGGTGTAAGACCTAAAACCATAAAACTCCTAGAATAAAAGATAGGGGACTTCTTCATGACACTGGATTTGGCAATGATTTTTTGTATATGACACCAAAAGCACCAGCAGCAGAAGCAAAAATAGATGAATGGGACCACAGCAAACTTAAAAACTTCTGCACATCAAAAGACACAATCAACACAGTAAAAAGGCAGCCTACAGAATGGGAAAAAATATTTTCAAATTGTATAGCCTATAAGGGGCTAATATCCAGAATATATAAAGAACTCCTACAACTCAACAACAACCAATTAAAAAAATGGGCAAAGGACATGATTGACATTTCTCCAAAGACATACAGATGGCCAACAAGCACATGACAAGATGCTTAACATCATTCATCATTAGAGAAATGTAAATCGAAACCGCAATGAGATATCACTTTGTGTCCATTAGGATGGCCACTATCAAAAACACACAAACTGGGGCCCCTGGGTGGCTCAGTCATTAAGCGTCTGCCTTCAACTCAGGTCTTGATCCCAGGGTCCTGGGATCGAGCCCCACATCGGGCTCCCTGCTCCGCGGGAAGCCTGCTTCTCCCTCTCCCACTCCCCCTGCTTGTGTTCCCTCTCTCACTGTGTCTCTCTCTGTCAAATAAATAAATAAATAAAATCTTAAAAAAAAAAAAACACACACAAACTGGCAAATAACAAGTGTTAGCGAGGATGTAGAGAAATTAGAACAATTGTGCACTCTTTGGGGAAATGTAAAATGCTGCAGCCCTTATGGAACTTCCCCAAAATATTAAACATAGAATTACCATATGACCCAGCAAATTTCACTTCTGGGTATATATCCAAAAGAACTGAAAGCAGGATGTTAAAGAGGTATTTTCATAACAGCATTATTTGCAATACCCAAGAGGTGAGCACAACCCAAATGCCCCTCAGTGGAAGAATGAATAAAGAAAATAGGGCATATACATAGAATGAAATATTATTGTACTTTTAAAAAGAAGGAAATCCTGGGGCGCCTGGGTGGCTCAGTTGGTTGGGCGGCTGCCTTCGGCTTGGGTCGTGATCCTGGAGTCCCAGGATTGAGCCCTGCATCAGGCTCCCTGCTCGGCGGGGAGCCAGCTTCTCCCTCTGCTGCTCACCTCGCTCACTCTCTCTGGCTCACTCTCTCAAATACATAAATAAAATCTTTAAAAGAGAAAAAAGAAGGAAATCCTATCACATGTTACAACATGGATGAGCCTTGAAGACAATATGCTCAGTGAAATAAACCAGTCACAAGAGGACAAATACCATATTATTCCATTTCCATGAGGTCCCTAGAGTGATCAAATTAATACACACAGAAAGTAGAATGGTGGTTTATCAGGGATATGGGGAGAGGGGGGATGGGAGTTGCTTTTGATGGGTAGAGAGTTTTGGATTTGTAAGATAAAAATTCTGGAGTTCTGTTGTATGACAATGTGAATATATTTAACACTGCCGAACTATAAACTTCAAAATAATTATGATTAATTTTGTTATTTTTTTAACCACAATTAAAAGAAAAACTGAGATGCTGGTGGCCAAACCTTGTTAAATTTTAGAATGCTTCCCCTCCTCTCCTCTGTTGCCAAGTCATTCCTACGTTTTTATTGAATTTGCCATGTCAAGGCATGGACATGGATGGGTTATAAGTCTCTGGTGTAGGTTGTATCAGTTAGGAGTGCTTTTCAGGCAGAAATAACAAAAGTCCACTTCTTGATGGCTTAAAGACAAGGGTTTATTTTCTTCCTGCTACTAGAGGTAAGCAGTTGCTGGCAGTGAGTCAGCTCTTCTTATCTTTGAATGCCATTTAATCCTCAGTAATCCTGCAGCCTTCAGCGTAGGCCTCCTTGGCCAGAACCGTGTGCAGTAGAGCCTGGGGAAAGGAAGGAGTCACCTAGTCAAGGCTCATTGCTGCCCTGAACAAAGCTGGGGTGTTGTCAGCAAGGGGCAAGAGAAGGGAATGTTGAGCAGACCCCTGTGAGGTCTGCCTCATAGGACCAGAGATATCATATAGGCTAGGTTCAAATGTCACCTCCTCAGAGATGACATTTGACCCCACTCACATATTTATTGTCTGTCCCTCCCAATAGTGGGTTAGGTCTTGGAAGGCAGATTCTTATCTGTCTTGTTCACTCCTGTATCCCCCAGTGCCTGGCATGTAGTAGGTGCTCAATAAATATTTGTTGAAAATAAGATCAGTGTGGCCTAAATTTGAATAACAGGCTTTCTCTCTCTCTCTCTTTTTTTGGAAATGACAAAATGATAATAAAGTTCATCTGGAAAAATATGTATGTGAAAAATGGCCAAGATCATTCTGAAAAAGAAGAGTAATGATGGGGTGAGCTATGTTAAACCAGGGTTTGGGAGAAAATAAGAAATAGCTGGAGTCCTCTCTGGGCTCGGACCTAGTTTGCGGCGAAATGGCTAAGCGCACCAAGAAGGTCGGAATCGTGGGTAAATACAGGACCCGTTATGGTGCCTCCCTCAGGAAAATGGTGAAGAGGATTGAAATAAGCCAGCACGCCAAGTACACTTGCTCCTTCTGTGGCAAAACAAAGATGAAAAGACGGGCTGTGGGGATCTGGCATTGTGGCTCCTGCATGAAAACCGTCACTGGTGGTGCTTGGACCTACAACCCCACTTCTGCTGTCACAGTAAAGTCTGCTATCAGAAGACTGAAGGAGTTGAAAGACCAGTAGAAGCTTCACCATTTGAAACATTACTAGCCTATAATAAATGGGTTAATTTATGTAACAATAACAAAAAAAAGAAATAGCTGGAGAAATCAGTGGAGTGCTGTAGAGTGGTAGTTCCCGGGCCTGGCTCCACATTAGGATCCCCTAAGTGCTTCTAAAAAAAAGCAGATGAATAAAACAAAGCAATACTTGGGCCCTACTCCCCTAGAGGTTCTGATCCGATGGGTGGGATCTGGGTATTGGTGTTTTCTTAAATGCCTCCCGATGACTCCAGTGTGCAAGGAGGACGGAGAACCACAGTGCTAGATGGTCCCGAAGCAGGTTCGAAGCCATTAGAACATGAAAGTTATGATAAAGTGGTAAGAGGTGAATTTATGGTAAAGAAATTTCAAATGGGTGGTGTCCAGACAGGTTCTTCAATTAAAGATGTTGAGATGATTACTTGACCATCTAGAAAGAACACTGGATCTTTATTCCTGGCACCAGAATAAGCCCCACAGGGATCCAAGTTTTAAATGTTACAAAACAAGAGGGAGGAAGGGTGAAAACTATGAAGTTATGGATAACTTTATAATTGCGGTGGGAAAGCTGGTTATAAGCTTAAAAAGAAAAGGTTAGTAACTTTGAAAACAAAAAAATCTGATGCCTGAATGTCATAAAATACCATAAATGAAGTCAAAAGACAAGTGACAAACTGGAAAAAATGTTTACAATATGCGTGCCAGACAACAGACTACATTTTCTTAACAAATCACTAGTATGATTCTGACACCAGTTCTAATTCTGTTCATCACAATTCTGAGACACCAGCTGCGGGTCCTACAGTTCAACTCAATTCTGACACTCTTTACCAGAGAGAGCCTCAGATCTCACAGGTGAAAGGCTCAGTCCCACAAGACTGCCCCCTCTTTAGATGCCAATTCCAAGTCCAGGCTGTCACCTGTCTTCTGATAGACTGGCTAGAAATCAGAGGTTCCCATGACCCCTCCTTGTGTTTGATTGATTTGCTAGAGCAGCTCACAGAACTCAGGAAATTTTCCTTACTAGGTTACTCGGTTATTCTAAGAGGACATAACTCAGGAACAACCAGATGGAAGAGATGGACAGGGCAAGGGATGGGGAAGGTGTGAGGAGCTTCCATATCCTCCTCCCCAGGTGCCACTCTCCCCAAATTTCCATGTGTTCATGTGCCCAGAAACCCTACAAACCTCATCCTTTTGGGCTTTTATGAGGCTTCATTATCTAGGCATGACTGATTAAATCTATCTGTTCATCGGAGACTGAACACAATCTCTGGCCCCTTTTTCCTCCTTAGAGGTAAGGGGTGGGCCTAAAAGTTTCAACCCTCTAATCACATGGATCCCTTGGCAACCAGCTCCCACTCATAGATGCTTTCCAAAAGTACCCTCATTAACATAACAAAAGACACCTTTTATGGTTCTCATTGCTTAGAAATTCCAAGGGTTTCAGGAGCTTGGTGCCAGGAAAGGGATGAAGACCAAATATATATTTTGTATTATAAATCACAACATCACAAATAGAAAATGTTCAAACAACCTAACAGTAAAATAGGCGATGGATTTGAACAGGCAACTCTTGAAGATGTTCAACCTCACTTGAAATGAAAAGAAACTCCTGTTAAAACAACACAGTCCTAGGTATGTGTCCAAGAGAAATGAAATACAAGTGCACAGAAACATGTACGCTCAAGTTCACAGCAGCATTATTCACAAGAGCTAAAAAGTGAAAATGACCCAAGTGTCCATCCTCTGATGATGAATGGATAAACAAAATGGGGTCTATCCCAATGGTGGAATATTCTGCCATAAAAAGGAATGAAGTGCTGACAGAGGCTACAACATGGAAAACCCTTGCAAACATTACGCTAAGTGAAGTCAGACACAAAAGACCATATAGAATATGATTTCATTTTTATGAAATGTCCCCAATAGGTAAATCTATCAATGCAGAGAGTGGATTGGTGGTTGCTAGGGGCTGGGGAAGAGAGGAAATGGGACAGTGACTATTAATGGTAATGGTTTCTTTGTGGAATGATGAAAATGCTCTCAAATTGATTATGCTGATGGTTGCTCAACCCTAAATACACTAAAAACTATTCAAGTGTACACTTTAAGTGGGTGAATTGTAGAGCATGGGAATTATATTTCAATAAAGCTGTTGAAAAACACTGAGATAGGACTTTTCACTCCTCCGTTTGACAAAATTAGTAACAGTGTAGGTGGACAGGCCTTTCATATATTGTTGATACACGTGTAAATTGATGCCATCCTTTGGAAGAGCATTTTGGCAATTTCTACCAGAATTAAAAATGCGTATATCCTTTGACCACGTGCTTCCATGTTAACTGGCCCTACGTAAATATTTATAGTGCATCCAGGTACACCAAGGAGCTGCTGGGGCACTGTAGGAACAAAGAAACTGAAAATTGATATACATCGACAGAGAACACACTCAGACAATGCAAAGAAGCATGGCCATTAAAAAGAAGACAGTAGCTTAGGCCCCTGTTGATGTGGAAGGATCTGCAGAGATGTGTTTTAGGTGGGAAACTGGCAAGGCACGAAAACAGTGGGCAGAGTGATTCTCTTTTTATCAACCAAAGCCAGTCTACCGAAGTATTCAGGAAAGAAATGCAAAGCATGATCATGTCTGGGGAGAGGGACTGAGATAGAAAAGGAGGTTTTAGTTTTCATTTTGTAATCTTTTGGGACTGTTTGAATTTTCTAAATGTGGGCCTGCATTAACTTTATTTTTGAAACTCCACCGGGATTATCCGTGTGGCCGTATTTTGAGTCATTTTCATTTTCTTTATGCTTTCCTGTATTGAAAATCTTTTATAATCTTTGGCATTCCAGAAATGTGTGTGATGGGTGTGTGTGTGTGTGTGTGTGTGTGTGTGTGTGTGTGTGTGTGTGTGTGTGATACACTGCTGTTCCCCCAAGAAGACCCTCACAGAGCTCATGACCTCCCTCTCCAGGCCTCGGGTTCCCATCCTCAGGGAAAGGCAGTAGGACGGGCTGGGGAGGCATGGCGGGGAGGGGGCACTTCACTGAGCATTGGCCAAGCCTCTCTCCAGAGACAGCTCCCACCTCCTCTTCATCCTGCCCCTGTGGTACGAAGCCAGCTCACAGTGTGCGCGGAGGCTCAGGTGAGGAGGCCGGGACAGAGAATAGAGTCCACTCCTCTGAAACAGCAAAGTGCACGCACAGGAATGGGTCCAACAGGATGCTCAGTTGATGTGGAAGGAGCCGGGCCAGAGCCTAAATTCTAAATGAGGGCAGCAGGGGCCTCTGAAGGCTGGTGTCCAGAGCGCCCAGCCCCTGAAAGCCACTGCGGCCTAGAGCTGCACTTGCGCGTGTAGGCATGTGCCTACGTATCTGGGAGGGAGGGGTTCTGGGATCTGTGTTCCTACATGCGTTAGTGGGCTTACCCATCTGCTTTTCGTGCATGTGGCAGAAGCAGCCTTACTGTGCAGCTCCGGGGCCCTTGCTTACACAGGCCCCCTCCAAGGCTCTGTCTCTAATTTGTATTTAGAGTTTTGGCCTTCCTTTTTTGAAAACCAGTTCCCCTCCCACACTGTATAAACATCGGGCCCAACAAAACGTGGATCTGCCCTGGCATATTTATATATATTGTATGTCCCATGTTCATCATGACTATGTCTCTGTCTCCCTTCCTTTGTCCCCCCTCCTTCCTGCTTTCCTTCTCTCCTTTCTTCCTTCAATATTTGTGTTCTAGGAACTTGTCCTTTTGGGACAGAGGGACAGCGATGAAGGAGACAATCCATTCCAGAGAGGTTCAGGGGTCCATGGGAGCATATTGTGGGCCATCCTCCTTCCTCCAGCTCACCTCATGAAAAAACTGGGGTGATGACAGCAACACCTCCTAGGATTTGGTTGCGAGAATCCAGGGCCATCATGCAATCAAGTGACAGGCACTTGGAGGGCACTGTTCAAACGTCTGTGCCCTTCCCCTTCACGGTGGCCCACTCTGTCACGCGCGTGGGAGCTCTCACGGAGCCACCAGGGATCCCAGCTACCCTGTTCCTGGCAGCCCTCGGGTCAGCTTCTTGTTTGGCTGGAGGAGACAGCTGGGCCAACAGAGGGGCCCATTGTCTCTGTATTCTGTGGCTCTATTGTTGGAGCCTAGTCCCAGGGTCCAGCCCCAAGGCACTCCCAGCTGTCGCTAGGGCGTGTCTTGATCCAGGTGGGAGGGACAGGGAGCGAGCACGGATACCTGGCTGTACCCCTAAGATTGGATCTCCAGCCCGGCTCCACTGACGAGGAAACTGAGGCTCAGAGAGCCCAAATGACGTGTGGGTTGTTTGTCTCACCTTGGGGTCGCCAAGGATGGGGCGGGGAGGGGACGCGCGTGGCCTCAAGTCGGAGAGGTCATGGATTTCATTAGGTCACAGATTGCAGGGCCAGAGCACCCCAATCCCATTTTACTAGTGGAAACGGAGGCCCCCCCAGAGCGGGGACACTTGCTCAAGGTCACACAGCGCGTCTGCCGCAGAGTCTGCCGGGAACCCAAGCGTCCCCAAGTCCCAGCCTTGGGAGAGAGCAGGAGCGCAGGTCGACTGGGGGCGGGGCGATTCCGCAAGTTCCAAACCTCTGTGGCGCGCCTTCATAAAAACTCGCGCGGCCCTCCCCCTAGGGGGCGTGGCTTTCCGAGTCAGCGGATTCCACTGGGCATTTGTCTGCGGAAGGCGGGACTTCGTGCTTGATGGCCGTTGGAGGCGTGGCCTCCTAACCGCGGGCGCGCTCACTGCGGGACTTCATCCCTCTGTGACGCAGGCGCGGGCGCGGGCGGGGCGGAGTCGAGACTGTCGGAGCTCCGCCCCCAGCGGAGGCGGCCGAGGCCGGGGGCGTGTCCTGGGCGGGGCCGTGCCCCGCCCCGCCCGGTCGCGGAGCGGTGGCCAGCGCAGGGAGGGCCCGGTCCCGGGATGTGAGTGAGGCAGGGGTGGGGGCGCGGGGTGGGGCGCCAGTCCAAGCCCCCGGGGTTCCCAGGGGTTCCCAGGGGTTCCCGTGGGCGGGAGCACTAGTGCGCGGGCTACCCGGCGGGCTCGTCAGGTGCGTGCCCAGGTACCGCGGGCGAGGGGACGCTCAGGCCGAGTGAGCCCAGGCCGGCCCCGCGCCACTTCTCTGCGGTCCGAGGTGCGGACCACGGGGCTCCGACCTGGGCGAGGGCCGGCGACGTGCGCGGGTCTGACGTCTGTCTTATCCCGGGCTCCACCAGCTGTGCCGAGGCCCCTCACAGTGGCATCCGCTGGAGCCAGGTTTCTGGTCCCCATGCGGCGGCGGCTGCAGAGGTGTAATGGGGTGGGGAGGGGGCTCAGCTGCGCGGCAAGGCTGAGGTGATCTCCATCCGGGCCTGCGGGTTGGGCCACAGCCTGCGTGAACCCCGACCTGCTGTTTCTGGGAACCGTCACCCCCACCCCCAGCTCTCAGGGATAGGGCGCTTTCTGTGCTTAGCTGTTTGGACGCATTGTCTCAAGATAGCCACATATTTTACAGTTAAGGAAACATACAGCAGTTTAGCGTGATTGTTATAATGTGGAAGTGAGATGCTGAGGCCTTGCAGCCAGATGCACCTTGGTGAACATCCGGTGCTGCACAGATCTGCAGTGTGACCTTGGGCAGGCCTGGTTCCCTCTCCAAGCCTCTGTTGGGATGGTGGTGCCTACTTCCAGGGCTCCGGTGAGGTTTGGGTTGTATAGTGCAGGGAAAGAGCCAATGCTCAGTAAGGGGCTGTTTTGACGACTGTTGTTACTGATATTAAGTGGCCCTTTTCCTGCGGCCGAGGGAGCTAGTGGTACTGGGTCAGGGTGTGTGGTCAGTCCAAGTGGGGTGGTAGGGAGGAGGAGGCTGCTTTCCACACTGAGACTGCCCCTCCCTGTGTGTCTGTCCCTGTGCACACGGAAGGCCACACGCAACTCAGCTGTACCAGCATGTGCCGGAGACACGCTGGCCCATCGTGTATTCACCACGCTACAACATAACCTTCATGGGCCTGGAGAAACTGCACCCCTTTGACGCAGGAAAATGGGGCAAAGTGATCAGCTTCCTAAAAGGTATGGAAGGCCCTATGAGACCCTACATCTGTTTCTTCCAGCCCACCTCCCCGACCCCAGCCCCCCGCCCCTGCCCGTGTCTTCCCTGACACAAGCCATGGTCTCCCACCTCCAGGCTCAGCCCTCAGACTGCCTTCCACCATGCTGGCAAAGGGGCTTTGCAACACAGATTTCTGAGCATGCTATGTCCCTGTCTCAAACCTTCAGTGCTCCCCTTTCGCTGTGGGCTTAAGTCCTGTCTCTGTCCGTGGAGGCCAGTAGAAGGGGAGCTGATTAAGGATGGACACAGGGAAGCTGAAGTTTACAGGAATCCAGTGTCCGTCCCCCATAAACTCGGAGAGTCCAAGAGGTAGAGAGCTTTTGCTCCAACCCTACTGATTACGGATGAAGGAAATTGGAGCCCAAAAGGGTTAGGGAATATGCTCAAAGTCACAACGCTACTGAGGGGCAGAGTGGGGTCTGGAACTCAGAGCTCTAGGCTCCCACCTTTCACAGCTGTTCCGCTGAGAATGGTGGTGCTCTGGAGTGTGGTTTCAACTTTGGCTTGTGATCCAGGGGTCTGGTTTAGGTGGGAAATTAAGGCATCACAGTAGGCTAGTGGGAGAATGTTCTCCCTTTCCCCTGCATTAGGGGTTCTTTAATTGACAGAAGTAGGGAATGTTACCTGGCATAGGATGAGGTATGGTGTATCTTTAAATCACACAATCCTGATCACTCCATGGAAGACATTTCACTATGGGGCTAGCCTGTCTTTAATACCGAAGCCCTTCTCCCCTTTTAACAAATCTAGAGCAAGCTGCAGGCTCTGCGCGTTGCAGAAAATACAGTCAAATTACAGATTAATAACAGTTTGTTTCTATCATATATGTTTTCTATTTTTGGTTAACTTCTATTTGTGGCAACCAATACTGATTTTCCATTTACAATTGTGACCAGAATGAGTATTGAAAACTGTTAAGTAGAAGAGTCCAAGCGGGGTGCCAGGACGGTGAGAAACCCAGCGAGGTGGGTGGGACCCGCCTGCTGCTCGCCTTGCAGGTCTCTGGCCTTCTTGACTATGGTCCTTCATGCTCTGTTTCCAGCAGACCTGGCCCGAGTCACTCCCCCTGTTGCCCTTTCTTGGGATCCTGTGTTACCCAGCAGCTCAACATAGGGTTCCTTGTCTCCCTCATCTCTGAGCTGACAGTCCTCCTGAGTTCTCTCCTTTATCCTCTGAGGATGTGGGTGGAAAGGAGGCAGGGGCCACATGGTGAAGGGCCTTGGGTGCTGCCAAGGAAAGAGCTGGTCCTTTGCCTGAAGGCAGTGGGGAGCCATGGAATGTTATTAGGGGAAAAGGGGAGAGTAGAGAGTGCCTTCTCTATGTCGAGCTATATGTGGGAAATGTATGGGACTAATTGGCTTCTATGGGTTACACATTAACAGTTTTCCTTAGATTCTGACCTTGTCCCTTTGATTTCCCTAGAACCCAGAGCATCATGGTCCTGTTCTCACTGTGCCCTGGAGCACTTCCTGCTCTTGGCTTCAGTGTCTTCTTTTGCAAAACAGAGCAAATCTTGTCTGGTGGATGTGAGGGCTGATAAAATACTGCAGTGTTTCCCAAACATCAATTATTTGCAAACCGCTCTTGGGACCTTGCCATACCACCTGCTCTGTTATTTACTTCATATATATATTTTTTAATCGACTTAGCCTCTGCTTTAAAAAAAACTTAAATAAACTTGTTTTAAAAAGAAATATTATATCATCTAAATGGGAAAAACCAGTTTCACTTGCCACAAATAGAAGGTCATGGTTAAAAAAATAAATGCAGGAAAACTGTAATTCACTTCAGGCTGCTTACTGTTGCCTGGCAGTCTGCGAGACTGCTGCTTTTTGTGTTAAAAAAGGGAGATGAGCAAGGGTTTAGGCAGGCCTTAAAGAGAGGCCACACCGCACTGAGCCTCCCATGACGTTGCCAGAAGGTGCAGGGAGAACCCAGAAGAGCTTTTCCCTCTTGAGTCAACATTATTGATCCGTGTGCCACCTGCCTCTGAAAGCCGTCCAGTCACACCCGAGCTCACCTCTCGGCTGTCAGTGGTTTGGGAAACACAAGGATTGCTGCGTGCCCAATGTCTAATGCCCTTGGGCCCTGGGGCCTGGCATTGTCCACCCTGGCCCAGGAGGTGACCTGTTCTCAGAAGCCAGCGGTTGCCCACCTCCTCCTGGGGCAGGGCTAGCAGAGGCTAAGTCTGCAGCCTACTGGAGGAGTGGTCTGGAGCCGCGTCTGCCTTTGGGTCATCAGGGAAGCAGGGTGCCCACTTTGTGGTTTCAGAAGAGAAGCTTCTATCAGATGGCATGCTGGTGGAGGCGCGGGAGGCTTCGGATGAGGACCTGCTGGTGGTGCACACAAGACGCTATCTCAATGAGCTGAAGGTACAGGGCCTGGGGCCTGGGGGGCTGCTGACCAGGAGGGGTGGCCAGAGCAGGGGCAGCTCAGCCTGGGGAAATACAGCCTCAAGGGGCTCCATTCCTGCCCCTCATGCGGGTGGGGCAGGCATGAGAGTCTGTGGTCCCCAACAGAAGGAGACAGGTGTCATAAAAAGGCAGATACCAGGGATGGGCTAGGCTGCTCTGGGGGTAGTGAGCTCCCTGTCCCTGGGTGCATGGAAGCAGGGATGTCCATTTGGTGGGGTTTGAACCTTCCTAGGTGTTTTGGGCCTCTACCTTAGTGCCTTTCAATCTGTGTTCTTTATTTTTATTTTTTTTAAAAGATTTTATTTATTTATTTGACAGAGAGGAAGAGAGAGAGAGAGGTAGGCAGAGGCAGAGGGTGAAGCAGACTCCCCACTGAGCAGGGAGCCTGATGCAGGACTCGATTCCAGGACCCCGGGATCATGACCCGAGCCAAAGGCAGACACTTCACCGACTAAGCCACCCGGGTGCCCCTCAATCTGTGTTTATGAACAAGCCTCAGAGACCCTTGCTGACATGCTGGGTGAGGGGCCCCCAGGCCCTTGTCCTATCCAACCGAAGCTGTCCCATTTAGGTCTATTTTTATATTGGGCTGAAGTTTAAGATTCTGTATTAAGAACTTCTACTGCTAAAGACTTGTTGAAAACTGTTGGGCCAAAACTAGTTTGAAACTCCCCGGGGCCAAACAAAGAGTATAAACAAGTTGGTTGGGGGGGGGGGGGGGGGGGGGGGGGGTGTATGGGGGCCAACTGGGGAGCTCCTGCCCCTTCCCAAGTCGGTGGCTTGCTACTTAGCTCCACCGTGGGCCCAGTGTGGCCAGGGGCCTGGCTTTCAAAGAGCAGTTTGAAATTCAGATTAGTAAGTGGCAGTCCTTGCTTTCTTAAAGTGGCAACTCATTTCAAGATTTTTCAATCCCACCTGCAGACCAAACCAGGCCTATAGGTTGCCTGCTTGTGACTTCTTTCTAGAAAGGCTCACAAAGCTCTCATCCATGCTTGAGGGTCTGAGGCCCCTCTGTGGGGTGCTCCCCTAGAGGGGAAGCTAGGCTGGGGGGGGTGGTTGCATCAGAACCTGGTGCTGCCAGCCCACCCTGGTGGGGGCACAGCCATGGATGCCACAGGTTCTCTGCCAACAGTGTGGGAGTCCAGACCCCCGACCCCCAGCTCTCTTATACTCAGCGCCATGGGGGATGCCAGAGGTCACCAAGCCCTCCCCCACCCACCCACCTGTATAGGTTGAAAAGCCTAGGCCCAGAAAGAGGCTGCACCTGCTCAAGGTCACCCAGGAAATCCAACAGCCCTCAGGGAGACCCCAGGCTGGGCATCCAGTCAGTCTTCCCGGTTCCTGGCCACAGCTGCTACCCGCCCTCCTCCCCGACTCTGGCCTGAGCTGTGAGAATTCTAGATGGAGGTGTGACAGTGTCAGCTCATGAAAGATTACCAGGAAGAGATTGAAACCTGGTTCCTGGGAGAGAGAGGTGTGCAAGGCCTTGGCAGGAAGCCCAGTCCTTGGCTGCCCTGGTTTCCTGGGGCCCAGACATGCGTGGTCACAGTCCACAGCCCAGGAGCTGGGCCAGGAAGACATGCCTGCCAGAGTCCAGAGGGTGAGGGTGGGGAGCAGGAACAGATGGCAATGGGGCAGGGCAGGGAGAGACCAGAATAGAGGGAGGCCAGGGTGGATTGCATGTGAATGTGCCAGGATAAGGCTGGGGGTAGGGGCGAATAGGCTCCAGGACCCCACCTATTTGAGGAGCCTTCAGGAGAACCATGCAGGGTTCACTCTGTGCTTGGCCTTGGGCCCCCAAAAGCCTAAAAGGCAGCTTACTGTGTGATAAATAATAATAATAATTAAAAAAAGTGTTAACAGGTAGAGACCCAAGTAGAAAATTGAGGTCAAGGGCGGGAGGAGAATTCAGATATGCCAACTGAGAGGATTAACCAAGATGCTATGATTGAGCTCATGTATTTGGCTTGGAGCTCCCTGGCAGCAAGAGCAAAAGGAGAAACATGATGATTTCCATAGCACCTACTAAGGTGAAGTCCTCAGTCATTCAACACATCTGTATCAAATACTGACTGTGTACTGGGTACAAGATGAAAAATAAGCAAGTTTCCCTGCTCGCGTGGATTTGCATTTTGTTGTGGAAGACTGGGAATAAAGAAGTAACCACACAAGAGCATTTCCCAGAGCACCAAGGGCTATGAAGGAAAGAAAACAGAGCATAGCTGAGTGAAGGGTGGAGGGTGGCTAGGTCGTCTGGGAGGGCCTCACAGAGGTGAGGTTTGAGCTGAGACAAAAGAATGAGGAGTAGGTGACGCTCTTGTGGAACTTTGAAGGAAGAATGTTCCAGAACCACATGCCAGGAGGGGGAGGGGACTTTGCCTCCTAAAGGGGAGAAGCGTGCTTGAGGTGGCATGATGTGGTCAGGGAGGCTAGTGGCACTGGCCACACTGGGTCTTGGGAGCTGTGGGAGGAGTTTGGATTTTGTACATGGGAGAGTGTCATGGTATGAGGTGCCCTTGATGATCACGTGGCACCCATGCCCATTTCAGGCATTTTGGCATTTAAGGGCTCTGGCTCAGGAAGATCCCCCTTGTCCGCACTTAACCCCTGCTGTCTCCCGTCCCCGTCTGCAATGTTCCTTTTCTTTTCTCTCTCTGTTGCGGGCACCTGGAACAGTGCCCTGGAGAGTCCCTGCAGGTTTCCTCGGCTGTTCTGTGTGTGCTGTGAGACGTCACCCTCTCCCCTGCCCCACCTCACTCTGTCCCCCACCCATGTTCCAGGGCTCATGCCTCGCCCTGATCCTGGGGCAGCCTTTGATGCTTAATCATTCAAGCATTGAAGGAGATGCAGTAGCCTGATGTTTGCCACGTGATGTCTGTTCAGGGAAAGAAATTTTTATTGAGCACCTACTGTGTGTAAGGCCCAGAGCTGGCCCCACTGAGGGTGGTGGTTGGATTGGGCCAGTGCCAGGTTTGTGCCTTCTGCTAATCCCAGGGACAGTTTGCCTGGGGTGTGAGGTAGCGTGATGCCGGTCTGACATCCTGACCTTGCGCAGTGCCTGGGATACATTTATCCAGCAGGTATTTTTTTTTAATCCAGTAAGTATTTAATGAACACTGTGCTGTGTTCCAGGGAAGACAGGCTAGAACAAAAGAGATGGAGTCTCTCTCCTTAGGGAGCTGGTATTTAGGTCGGGGGAGTCAGCCAATAGACATGATAATCCAGTCAATGATATGCTGTGTTACGAGGCACTCGGTGCTGTGGAGGAAAGCGGGTGTGGGGCCTGCGGTTTGAAATAGGGAGGTTAAGGAGGGGCTTACTGACGTGTGATCATGGACTGAGGCTAGTGAGGGAGTGAGCTATGTGGGCATGTGGAGGGGGGGCATTCCAAGTAGAAGGATCAGCAAATGCAAAGGCCCTGGGGCCGGAGTATCTCCAGTGTATTTTGAAACAGTATTTGCCACTGGATTGGAGGAAATGGGGGTGGGGAGGAGACTGGCAAGAGATGGGGTCAGAAGACCATCAGGGGCCAGACCACACAAGGCCCTTTGTACCGCTGTGGCCTTGCTCTGAGGGAGGTGGGAGCCAAGGAACGTTTTAGGCAGAGGGAGATGATCTGATCTAGGTTTTAGCAGGGTTGCTTGGCAGCTGTAATGAGATGTGGCTGTCAAGACAAAAGCAGGGCGATCAGTGAGGAAGGAGGTTGCTACAGCAATCTGGTGAGAGGCCCTGGGCTCTCAGACTAGGCTAGAAGCCGCAGCTATGGATTTTGGTAGGATTTGCAGTTTGTTATGAAGTTGAAACAATAGAATTTTCTGTTGTTCACATTGGGTATGAGGCATGCAAGAGAAAGCGAAGCCAAGGACGCCTGAGCCCCAGAAAGTCTGAGCACCTCTTGGGCCTAGTCACTGACCTCACAGCACTCGGAGTCCTACTGGGGGGGGAGACAGACCTTTAGCGAGTGTGTGTGTGTGTGTGTGTGTGTGTGTGTGTGTGTGAGAGAGAGAGAAGTCCCAGAGAATGTCTGGGGAAATGGCCCCCACACCCACCCCCTGCTGCCTCTGATTTTTCTCTCTCTTATCTCTTCTTCCCTGAGGGGACTCTTGTCTCCCTTTTTTCTTATTTATGGTAAAATTCAGATAGCATAACCAGTAACCATTTTAAAGTGTAAAATTCAGTGGCATTTAGTACATTTACAATGTGGCGCAAACATCACCTCTATTTAGTTCCAAAACATTTTCCTCACTCCAAAAGGAAACCCTGAACCCACGAAGCAGTTGCTCCCCATTCCGCCCTCTCCTCTGCCCCTGGTAACCAACCACCCGCCTGTGTTCTAACTCTATGGACTTGCCTTTTCTGGGTGTCTCCTATGCATGGAGACATACAGTATGTGACCTTTGGCTTGTGGCTTCTTTCACCAAGCACAAGCGCAGAGTTTTCAAGAAATCATCCATCCTGTGGCATGTACCTGCACTTTATTCCTTATTATGGCTGAATAATATTCCAGTGTGTGGATAGACAACATTTTATTTATTCATTCATCAGTTAATGGGCATTTAAGTTGCTTCTGGCTTTTAGCTTTTGTGTGTAGTGTTGCTATGAACGTGCATATATGAATATTTGAGTACCTGTTTTCAGTTATTTTGCTTATATATCTAGGCTTGGAATTGCTGGTCATAGGGTAATTCTGGTTAACTTTTTGAGGAAACACTAAAATGATTCCCATAGCAACTGCACATTATATATCCCTAACAACTGTGCAAAAGTTCCAATTTCTCTACATTCTAACCTACACTTGTTGTTTTCTGGTTTGTTTTTGTTTTTGATCATGGCTAACTTAGTGGGTGTGAAATGGTATCTCATTGTGGTTGTAACTTGCATTTTCCCTAATGGTTAATAACACTGAACATCTTTCCATCTGCTTATTGGCCATCTTTATATCCTCTTTGATGAGGTAT